ACTGGTTCTTTCTGGAGGTTCTCAGAGAGAATCTGTTCCAGGCCTCTCCCCTACCCTCAGCAATCTTTCACCTTCCTTGGCTTGCAGAGGTATCACTCCAATCTCAGCCTTCATCTCCATATTGCCTTCTCTTCCATGTGTCTTCTAATCCAGGGTGATCTCATCTGGAGATCCTTAGCTTAGTTACATTCAAAAGACCTTTCTTTCCAAATAAGATAACATTCACAGATTTAAGGTGAAGATATCCTTTCAGGGGAGGAGGAGGCACCATTCAACTCACAACACTTTGTACACCAGTACCTAACTAGGAATCAGAAAACTTGGGTTACAGTCCCTGCTCCACAATTTACTTGCTGTGTCTGACCTTCAGCACATTGGTTTAACTTCCTGGATCTCAGTTCACTGATCTGAAAATGAGGACAATAATACCTGCCCTTCCTTCTTCACTGTGAAGTAGTGTGCACCCAATACTCTTTAAATAAATGCTAAATGAACAAATTAATAAGTGAGTGACTGAATAAATGAACTCATGTGGAGGTATTAGGGACACCACATCAAGTCAGATCTGGAACTCAGAAGGTTAGGGCTGAATATTTAGATCTGGGAGTCCTTGACATCAATAGAAATAAATGAGGCTACCTAGAGAGAGAAACAGAAGAAAGTTGAAAACACAGCCCAAAGAAACAGATACATGTAGAGTCACTCTGGAGCAAGAGTAGGGCCCCACAGCCCCCTTTCCATGTTCTGTGATGAACTGTCCTCAGTAACTCTTCAGAAGCCCCAGGCTATGCTGAGCCATTGGGAAACCAGTGTCTGGGCTCAATCAGTAGTTCTCAAAGTGTAGTCCCTGGAACAGCAGCTGCAGCATTATCTGATAACTTCTTAGAAGTGTGAATTCTCTGGCCCCACTCAATACTTATTAAATCAGAAATTCTGGAGGTGGGGCTTAGCAAGCTGTGTTTCAGTACATTCTCCAGGTAACTTTGTTGCCCATAAAGTTTGAGAACTTTATGTAGTGGGCCACTTCATCTCCATAAAGTTGGAGGGGAGACCACCCACCTTCAAAGACCATTTGAGGTTGGGACAGGGGACACTGAAAGGAGCTGGGAACTGCCACTGGGAGCCTCTTCTAAGACACCAGCAGAGATGGATGAATGGGGGTGAAGCAGCAGGGAAGTCAGGACCAAGGCTAGCAGGTGTCAACATGCACTCCAGTTATCACATCTATGCCCTGAACTCCTCCTGCGATGCCTCAGAATAGGTCCTTGTAGTAACTAGTGCTCTGGGTAGAAGGTTTAAGGAAAAGAGGAGTCTAGGAGGTTGTGTTGAAGTGACTGGCAAGGAAGGGGCTAAAATCTTGATGAAGGTAACGAGTCAGCTCAGTGGATGTGGGGGCATGGGAGAGGTGGAGACTGGGCAGCTTCACTAAGGGTATGGGGGTAAGGAAGCTCCGTGTTTGAAATCTCAGTGAGGAAACAGTCCTAAGTTATACCAAAGCCCAAGAGATTCGGTCCTACTTCAGACTTCACTATTGAATTTATACTTCTAAATGGACAAACTTACACAGAAACAATATGTATATGTTATAATAAACCAAATAAAAGTTGTATGTTTCTGCATTCAAAAATATTTTAAATTTCTCTATTTTTATATGTTGGTATAATGTTGTCTTCATCATTCTCTGAAAAGGACTGTACTTTCCTTTTTGTGTGGATTTTCCCTTTTTTGTGTGTATATTTTTGTGGTAAAATATACATAACACAAAATTAACCATTTAGTGCAAAAAATGTCATTCTTGTATGAAATAATAAGAATAGACTGTAGTTGGTTGGAGGGAGTTGAATTTCCTTAAAAAATTAAAAAGTTGATACTTTATTTTGAAATGCTCTTGGACGGAGAAAACCAGAAATCTGTGAACCACTGCCTTAAAGATGAGCTGGGATTTAGAGAGGTGGCGAGTTCAGGGGTAGAAAAAGGCAAAAACAAAGTCTTGTAGGGAGGAACATGCAGGGCATTTTTAGAAGAGTGTATATCAAACCCATTAAAACAAAGTGTTCTTGAAAAGGAGTAGTTGAAATTAAGTTTTGATTCATTTTTGAATACTTAGTGCCTAATGGTGTTCTGCTCATAGTAGAAACTCGATAAATATTTGTCAACTGAGTACAGTGAAAGTTCAAGTCAGCATCAGAAGAGCCAGAAAATAAAGTTTGAACTTTATTTTCTAAACCAGAGCTTCCCAGCAGATGTTTCTAGAACAGATAACCAATGTGCTAAACTACTAATTTTCTCCCTGCTGAAGGGTGCCAGGCAGAACCAGGGCATCTGGTCAGCTCCAGTCCAGATGTGTTCTAATATTCTGTACAAATATGACAATTATCTTTAGATGCCATGACTGGAAGAGGATGGGAGGCAATGAGGGGGTCACTGAAGATAACTGAATGCTGGAGATGTAAGATGATAGCAATATTTACCACAAAAACTATTAGCCTGGTGGTAGAGGACAATGTGGAGCCCAGATTTGAAGATAGAATCATTGGGAAGAAGAGTTTCAAGATATGTATAACAAATATTTTCAAACTGCCTCTCCAAATTCATTGTTTCTCCCCAACTCCCCTTTGTAATAAGACCCTGATATTTTCCACAACATGATATAAGTGGAATTGACCTACACCGTGGGTGAGCCCTGATTGACTTAAACCAATCAGCATTTGTCTCCCCCCAGCCCACAAATATGGGCACACAACCCAGGGATGAGCACATAATCCAGTAAGAGGTTGCTTTTCTTTTTTCTTTTTCTTTTTTTTTCCTTTTTAATGAGGACTCCTAAAGAAAAGATTCTGATATTTCTGTTCAAAATTGACATGTGAAGATGTAACCCTAAGGTGTTGGCAGCCATCTTTGGACCGTGAGGGGATAGCCTACATGAGAGGGGAGGAGGTGGAGCAGAGAAATGGTGAAAGGGAAACTGGGCCCAGGTCCCAGCACCTAAGCCATACTTGAAGGCCAACCTGAAGCCTATCCTACCACTAGGTTCTGAGTCTTAAACTCCTGTGTCTGTTAAAGCCAATTTCGGTCTCATTCTCTTTCATTTGCAACTGAAAAACTGGGATGCACAAGGCTAAAGTGGTCCTCAGAATAAGAGAAGAAAAAGTGGGCATTCACGGCATTCAAGCACTCTGAAGAAAGAGTAGCTGTTAAAGGACAAGACAAAAGGGGCCTAAGATGCTACACTGAAGTGATTAGTCATGAAGGGACTGGGTGGCATTGGGAAAGAAAAGGACAGCTGGTTCTAGGCTCGACAGGAAAAAAGAGGTGAGCACCAAAATGGTTTCTGTCCTGACCGCTACTTTAACACTACAGCCTTCTCTTCAGGGATAACAAAGGCCCCCGGTTCCTCCCCAGGGAAATGATGCAACCAGTCACTAGAGAGTAGCTGGATTAGCCAAGAAAAAGTCAGGAAAAGGGAAAGGAGCAGGTCCCAGGGATAAAAAGAGGGGCATTAAAAAATGGGGGAAGGAGAGATTGGAAGTCGAAGCGGGGGCGGGATTGCTAAAGAAAAAAGGGGAACATGGATGGAAACCTAGAGACTAGGAGAGCAACAGAACATGTTGCTTAAAGAGTGGGCCCCGGGGCCAGATACCAATTCCAAAATTCCATGCCTCACTTACTAGCTGTCCTAATTCACCTCTCTAAGCGTCCCATTCCTGCCTATAAATTAACATCAAAGTGCCATTTTTCAATGACTGTAAGGCTCCTAAAACAGACAGGGAAGCCCCTAACAGAGCTTTTGGCAGGGGTAAAAATTCATTACTTGTGGTAATCTCGCAAGAGTAAGACGGACGAAAGCAGGAAGACAGAAGAGAAAGAAAGCAAAACGCTGATTTTCTTAAATCCTGAGCCTCCTCAGTAGCAAGCAGCCAGCATTCACTCTATAGCAGCAGCACTAAGGGAAATTAAAAGAAAGGCTCACACTAAAAGAAATGGCTTCTGAGAAATGCCAGTAACGTTTGCTTAGTTTCCTCCTATTCTCTCACAGAGAGCCTTAGTACGTGTGTGTTGAACTGGCCTGACAATACTTGGGACTTCTCAACATACAAGGGGAGGAATCACTTAAACAACAAAATACTAAAACAAGTCAAAACCTCGCCGGAGCTTGATTTCAAGTGACAAAGGGTGGCGCCAGCGCACACCTAATCTAGGCTAGCTGGCGAACTGGGATTAGCCCGTCCTGTCATGCATTCCCCGGGGGCTGGGATGAAGTGGACGCGGCAATCGCTGGCGCTTTTGTTTACTCGAATTCTTTGTCACAAGAGTTCGCTGGGCAATTAGGTTGGAATTGGGCGGGGGCCGGTTGGCTGGGAAGGTGAAGGAGAACAAAAGTGAGAAACAAAGAGGGACTAGTCAGAACCCCCCTGGGACCAGAAAGGAGAGATGGGATTCTGGTCTATCAGTGGCACCTGTTACCCGCTCTCAATAAATAGTCTCCCATCTATAAGGCACTTTATTGATACTGACAGTCATCTCTATATGGCACTCTATTCGTGTAGCAATAAGTAACAATAGCCCTACGCCTGCATTATCTCCTCTAATCTTCTCAACACCCACTAAGTCGTCTTAAGGTCATCATTTTGATAAGGTCATAATGCCAGGGAGCCCAATCTTGTCCCCAGACCTCCGTACTCCGGCGGAGCGGTTGCCCAGCCCTGGGAGAGCCACGGAGCCGCCTTCCCTGCCTGGGAGGGCCGCAGGGGCCGGCCGGGAGCGCAGGTG